AAAATAGCTAAGATGTACACCTAGAAAGTATTATCTCAATGGCTCCTAAGCTTTCCATACTGAAAGAATCTTCGCTAGGAGTGCATCTAAACAAGTGAGTCCAGGCTGGTAGCATTTGAGAAGATGGCTTTGCATTAGCAAGTTGCTAGGGTAGCTGTACTTAGAGCATGTTCAGGGTTTACCATCATGTAAGCACCTCAAAGAGGTTACACCTGTTTGTTTTACTCTAATGGCATGCATAAGGTTGATGCACAGCAGGCAAAGTCCAGATGGGGCAACATTCAAATTGGATCGATCTTTTAGAGTGACAGAAACACGATATTTGTTTTGTGAGAGGACAAATAAGGTCTTTGGCATGGTTGGATACATGAGCTCTGAACGGTGAAGCAGAAGCAGCCAAACAGACCCCATTCCGACCTTGGAAATTGCAATTTAAAATCCTTTGCAAGGATCTCTGCATGCATGCTCACTAGTCAAGCCAAACCAATTTATCGCTACGGTCCTTAGACCAATCATATGCATGCTCGCTAAATGCCATGGTGACTTGGCACTTAGAATGTTTTACTCGCATTCTTTCAAATTTCTCTCTAAAATGAGAAGGGCCCATTTCAAAGGCCTGTCCAAACAGGATGGGAAATGAGTTTTCCAGAAGAGCATCAAAAATGGAACATAAGCCCTCACAGCCACATGGCAACTTCCAAGCTGCTGATGCCTCCTAGTGTTCAGAATGGGAATGGCATTCAGAGGTCAAATAAAATGAGAAGGATCTTTATGTGTGGGGTGATGATGGGGGATGGAAATAAAGGAAAGACAGTAAATCTTAAGACATTTTGATGGAATATTAACTTAGGGCCGGGTTAAAACAAATTGGTATGTCCTGCTACATCCCCCCCCGCCCCAAACTGTTTTGTGTTTGAAACAATTTTTTTCAAGTACTAGAAAGAACAAGAGTTGGGGCCAAATACGCAAACATTTTAAAAGAGAAATCAACAGTAAGATTTTAATCACAGCTGTGGGATGTATGAGGGTGCTAAGACCCTATCTTTCTTAACACCTAGCTATAGTCATGCATTCCCCAGTTACATCTAGATCAGATTACTGTGAGAGCCATACAACCTTTGGTGGGTTCGTTTTAAGAAGCCTGCAAATTACTGTTGCACCAACTTTATCAGCATTTGATTTCCCCCGCCCCCCACTAAAAGTGCTTTAAAGCCTTACATGCCTGGATAATTACGGGATCCTCTCCTCCCAGGCATTAGCTTCCGTAAAGGCTTATGGCTGTCCCACTGTGATCACAGCTTTGCCTGGCAGTAACACGGGAGGTCTTCTCAACTGTGTCTCACCAACTATGGCCCTCACTGTTCCAAGAGATCAAAATGGCTTCCACGATATTATTATTTAACCACTGCCTGAGGACTTTTCTTCGTACCCCCTAAAAGGCCTGCCCTTAATGCTGTTTCATTTGTTTCTCCGTGGTTTTTTAAAAATGATCTGTTATTCTTTCTGCTGTTATGCCTTCAATGCTTTTTCACTTGAACGAAAGATACAAAAATGTACATATTTTAAATACAATATTTCTATCCAATAACAAGTATTCTCTAGGTGGATTACAAAATACCACACAAATGAGAGCATGGTGCACAACAAATAAAAATAGCACAGGAAATAAATATATAAAAATATACTAAAAGTAGCTAAAAAGTTTGAAGAAAACTGTTTTCATGTGGCCTTGGAAGGGCAACTGTTGCACATAATTTTCCTTACTCTGGCAGAGGAGACTGAACGTCTGCACCACAGGGTCAGCAGTCAGCAGCAGCAAGCACATGGGGTGCCTGTGCGACGCAAGATTTTCATTGTGACAACAGTGGGAAAGGAGCTCCTTAGCCTTGCATACTATGTTCTCCACAAACATCACACATACCCATGCCTTGCCTATTTTAAAAATGAGACATGGTTCTCTGTGATTTGGTCCTTACACAGCTTGTGCACAACATGGAAGTGCTTCCAGTTTCTTCTGTACATCAAGGAAGATGGAAAAGAGACATAGCACCATCCATTTAAAGATATACTTGGATCCTTCTGAAGCCATTTGCTTCACACACCAGGGTCTCAGTCACGACAGCATGACCTACAGTGGGAATTACTGTACATTTTCCTTCTGGAACTCAAAACATGACAATCCTAACATAGTTCACAGATCCCAAAGAAGACAGGAGCTTCTTTTGTTGACTTAATTCTCATCTTGAATAGATTTTCCTACCTGCTTGCCCTGGCAAGCATTTCAGTATAGGAACAAAAGACACTCAAGATCTAGTAAACTCCGTTTTAAACATCTGCACTGGAAAACAGAACCGGGCAGAGCTTTAGGTTGCATGTCTCAATATCTGGGGCTCAACTTGTGAACATGAGTTAGCTCTTTGCATTATGCAAGTGTAGTACTGCTCATCTGGATTGCTACAGTGTGGGTTCCTATGAAAAGACAGGAAATCTTACCACCCATTTCTAGCCCACCTATCCACTCTCTGGTGCCTATCAGAGAGAAGCGCTGCCTCTAGTTTCTCTGCAGCCTACTTTAAGCTGATGCTCTACAGATGATCTGGACAGTATCTCCCACCATTCCTTACCACTGAGCATGCTAGGTAGGGCAGAGGAAAGCTGAAGTCCCAAGTATTTTGAGAGTATCAGACTGGAAACTGCTTTTAAATTAAATGAGAGATGGACCAAAATAATAATAATAATAAAGCAGTAAAAACCAATGCCAAATCAGCTGTTTTAGACAAAATAAATCTTCCCTGGGGAATTCAAGAAGGAATTCCTCAGCCAATTGTAATTACTCAAAACTAATTCACTAGCTGTGAGAAAATTTCTTTTGTGCTTTTAAGAGAGTATTGTAGTATGAGAGAAAGTTAGCTAGGTGGCATTGAAAGTCTATGTAGAGTGAAAGTTTAGTCTTCCTTGCAAGATGGAGAAGAAATCACTGCCTTGCTAGACCAAGACATCCACCTATCTTCAGTTCTGGCCTGTTAGATGTTCTTACAAGCTCACAGTCTGCCAGTCCATTTCTAGGCCTAATTCAAAGTGCTTGTTATGACCTATAAAGTCCTGTATAGCTTGGGCTCAGACTATCTGAAAGATTTCCTTGCTTCTAAGATCATCAGGGGAGGCTCTTCTCTCAGTCCCACTGCCTTCTTGGACATGTTTTGTGGTGACACGAGAAAGCCCATTTTCTGTTGCTGCTCCCTGGTTGTGGACCCCAAGGCCTAGCTGGTCGCCACCATTGATGTCCTGGCGACAGGTGATGAACATACTTTTTAAGCCATGTTTTAACTAACTGGGCAGTGAGGAGTTTTACCTATTATTTTATGCATGTTTTAATTTGCTTTTAATTGTTAAACTAATATGTGCTGTATTGTTTTTAATGTAATAATTGTGTTTTTAACTGCTTTGCTTTTTACTAATTTGTGAGCCACCTTGGGTCCTGTTAATTTGGAGAAAGTTGGCCTAGGAATAGAAGTAATTAAAAAAAATCATCATGTAATCAGAGGCCTATAGTGTCTGTATATGACGTTTTTAGTTCTAGGACAGTGTTTGGAAACACTGATAGATCTACCTTCTTTTTCAAGCAAAGTTACAGACATCGCCTGCACACAGCAGCGAGGAGGTGGCACCACCAAACAGCAAAGCATCACGAATCCAATTGTGCCAAGCAAGCAAGTACTGGTAGCCTGACTGCAAAGCCTGAAGGCGCAATGTTTTGAGTATGTAAAATGTTTTCTTTGCAGAAGATGCATGCGCATGCAGAACCAAAACTTATGCTACTCCCAAAGCTGACACTGGCCCTCAATTTGAGCTATGTTCATAGATTCTTCAAAGGGTTGGAAGACATTGTGCTTTTTAATTAACTGATCAGGGTCTGCTAGTAGCCTAGCTTCACAAACACAAACACAATTCAGGCTGTACTTGGAACAGAATAAACTACTCAATATTTGATTATTTTTTGGGGGGGGTGTTGAATTGTACTGCTTTGGCTATAGCAAAGAAGGGCAAAATTGGGCACCCAACCCCTCCATTTATTAATGTTATACAATATAATCTGAGATTACATATGACTGAAATACTGGATGGCTGATTCTATGAATTTAAATACTTAGACTTGCTGAGGGGTTGACCTCCTCTCACCCAGTCCCAAGCAACTTTAAAGTTTCAGCTGAATCCTGCCTGGGGAGGCAGCTGACCACAACCACCTACCTTACCATGGGCTGATGGGGCCTGAAGTGTGAAAGGATGCAACAGGTCTTCTACCACATATTTTATAGCATGACTGACTGCTATCACTGTAGTATGGCTCTAGTGCGCATGGCCGTAATTTTGCCAAACCAATGGGCAACTCTAGATATTGAGAAACTATCTAAGCTCAGAATAATCCACATAAATACCAAAAGCAAAGAGCATGCAATTCTAGAGAGGTGACCTACCCCTTTTAAGCTCTGCTTATGTCTGGGAGTTTTGAAGAGTTTTTTTTAAAATCTTCACAGGGTTTTAGTGGGTGAAAACATGGGAAGAGGGAGCTCAACAAAATAAATCAAGAACAGCAACAAATATGTACCCCACCCCCCAAAAAACTAGTTACAAATGAATGTAAACATGTCACAGAACAATTAACACAGATTCTGAAGGAATAGGGGGATGGGGAGAATCTTTATTTCGCCAAATTCGGGGGGGGGGGAGAAGGAAAAAAGGGTGCTGGATAGAAAACAGCTATAAAGGAATGATAAGATGCTACCATCTATTGACATCCTCTTTGGCAGTGCCAGGAATGTGAATGATACACATGTGGGTTGCACAGAATGCCATTTCCAGCAAGAACTAATCAGCCCTCCCAGCGTCAAGACAGGCTTGCTTGGTTAGTGATCAGCTTCCATCCTGCACCCGCGGCAGTGTGAAGGCCAGAGCTTAGAAGGCATGCTTGGGCAGGACTGTCACACGCTCCTGTTCCCCACCTCCAAAGCTATCCAGTGATTCCAGCCTGCTCAGGCGCTCCAGGCTTCTTCCAAGCGCCTCTTCCAGTTGTCCACGGAGGGCCTGAACTGCCTCCAACTCTGCTTGTAGGGTCTCTTCTGTCCTAGATCTGGTAAAGCCCATACAAAAAGGGGAACAAATTAGGAGGGGCTCTTCAGCGTCTACCACATCATTCTGCTTACCCCTTATTCAGGACCTTCCAAACAGTACTAACAATCCAACTGGGTCTCTTCCAACTCCTTCTCACCATCCCTGCCTCTGGTGCAAAGAAGAGAAGGGGAAATAGTGCATGCAATCTTCTTACAATCTGGACAGAGGAACAGTCTCCCCCTTCCCAAAAACAATTCATTCTGAGGATTCCATAAAACAACCAAAAAACTTTTAGATGTATCAACAAGGAAATAGCAGCGGGCGGATGTTGTCATCATAGTCCTTTGCCAGCACGCTACACAGAAACTGCAACCTCTCTGAGTGCAACATGCCTTAGCATGGTCTACAGCTTGCAGACGGGGCTCCTCACCTATCAGGATGATTGTGAAGCTTCACCAAAGTGCTGTAGAGTTGTTTTTCTGCCTTCAGGGTTTCATTCAGCTGATTCCTCTCTGCTGCCAGGCCCTCCAGCGCCAGCACCAGCTGCCAACAGGAACATTCTATTTCACTTTATGGTAAGTGTTAATTTACTGTGACATACAGATCAAGTTGAAAGAAGTTCCATATACAAGGCCTCTCTGATTCCGCTTTTCTCAAAGTGGAACTTCTGCAGCTTACCGAAAGAAAAAAGAAAACAAAAGGCACCCCCCCACCCAAACCACTTACAGCCAGACTGTGGGCATATGGACAGTTAAGTCCACACTGCATACTCCAGATGGTTTCTCTGAACAGATATCACAATCTATACTATAATTAGGAAAGCTTTACATTTGAACTAGAAAACTAATCGCAAATGTTTCAGTTACAAGAGTGCTGCAGGACAAAACTGGTGCAGAAGAGGGCTATGAACCAAGTCCTGTGCTCCTCTGAAGAAAAGCAGGGTACAAATCTATGTCCTATCACAGGATGGGGGCCCTTCTGTTGTACCTGCAGCTGCCTGCTTCCTGAAGCCTCCTGTCCTCGTGATTCCAACTGAGCTACCTTTTCTTGAAGCATCAAAACCTCTTGGGTGAGTCGCTCAATTGCTGGCATTTCTTCAGGGTCAACCAGCTGCATTTGCAAGTCCTGAAAAAAAATGAACATGGAGGGAAAAATAATACAATTCATGGTCTTGGACCTTGCAGCTACTAGTCTTTCAGCCAGTGGGAGACAAGTGGCATGTCATATGAAAATTCAGAGTAACATCCAAAATGGGAGAATCTGTATTAAAAGCCCAAGAGAGAGCTTTTCATTAGAGTACTACAGAACAAGGGACTGAATATTAAACAACCCTGTTTTACTTTTAAAGGTTCTGTAGCTTACCATCATCTAGTATTAAAACACAGACTTGAGTTTCTGAATTAAGTGTAAAAACTGAATTACTTGTGTAATATGTTAAATATCAGAAGGACCTGGTATTTAGGCATTATTGTTCTCAGGGAAAAAGATGGGGTGTTCAAACACTCTGGTTGTTAGTCCCACCTTTATGAGTTCTTCCTTGATCTGGTTACTTCTAGTGAGAGATTCAACATCAGAAGCCTGAACCTGCAGCTCCTCTTCCTGAGAGGTGACCAAAGACTGAAGAGCAGAGAGTTCCAGCTAAGGAGAACAAAACACAAGCATGAGATCAATATAATAATATAACAAATCAATATAACAAAGCACCTGATTCTCCACAAGCTCGTTTATGCTTTTCGTTTGTTACAAACATTCCCCCCCCGCTATAAGATATTCAGACCACATGGCAAACTATTCCAAGAAAAATCCAACACATGCTTTCTTTGTCTAGGACATTAGATATTAAGCTCTGAGTCCATAACCAGAGACATCAGGTTGACAGCAGAATTGTGTCCCTGAGGATTCCACTGGAAGGGAGATCAGAGTTAAGTTCAGTCATGTGGGCCTTGTGAAGGAAGAAGGTGGGGTACTCAACCTTTTTGACACTGGAGGCCATATAGGATACTAGGAGCACAGCCAAAAATATACACACACTACTGATTCTGTTTCCTTGGTAAGATGGAATGGATTCCCTTCTTTCCACACATCCCCAACAAGGAAAGTGAGATCTACTGATCTGCTGCACCAGTGACCATGATCCACTCCTCTACTCTAAGGGAAGGTTGTGCACTGAAAAAAAGAGGTTTCTTACTCAAAAACATTAAGACACACATATGTGATAAAAGCTTTTTCTGGGACGTATGGAACCAAACAAAGCCCACTGCTGTATGAACATTATGTCCTTCTTGGAAGGCAGCAAGACAAAAACCTCTGCTTAGTGTCAGGGGAGAGACGAATCCTATTCAAGCATTCATTAAAAGCTTCTGGATAGCCCCACCTCCTTCCCCTCCTGTGTTTAGGGCGATGGAGGAAATGTATCTGCCTTGGTTGATCTGTAGCCTACGGGGCATCATCTTCCCCTTGAACTAGGGCCAGCCTGAAGCCGAGTGTGTTGGAAGTGGCTTTTATCTACAGATACCTTCAGACTCCTCAGACTCACTCTGCTTTCCCTCTCCTTCCGGGTCAACAGCTCAAGCTCTTCCCTGGCACTAAAAAGTTCCTTCTCAAGTCCGGCGGTTGTTTCAAATACAGCTGAAAGGAAAGCAAAGATAAACTGAAATTACATGACAAATAGCCACCTCCATCTTTCTACATGGATGAGCTAAAAAGAGTTAACCTGCACAATCTTTTTTATTAAGGGAGTTTTCTTCAGTGCTTTTAAAAGAGATTTCCCCAGTTGTGTTAGGAATGTTTAATTTCTGTGTGCATCCTGCTCAATGGTTGCTTTGTTTCTCTCCTGTTTGTGAAACAATCTCAAGGCATACCGCTACATAACTGTCACTGAGCAGAACAACAATCCCCAAGTTTCGGTTCAAGAGAAGCAGCCAATCATATAAGAACAGTCCTCTTGCAGTGCCCCCCCATCTCCATATGAGAGCCAATCCAGAAAGGTACCATGATTGTCCAGATCAGCTCAGTGAATCTCCCCTGTCTTTCTCCTGGTGAAAATTATCTACCAGGGAGACCAAAGACATTTCAGTACAAAAACCAGATCAGGAGTCAGATTGAAATGGATCTAGATAATCTGTATAATCTAGAAATGCTTAGGGTTGCAGAGGAGCCATTCTACTTGAGCACCCTGGGCAAGAAAAGTATGCTAGGTACACACCTGCCAGTAACTACCCTGAGTTGAAATGGAGCTTCAAATATTAAACTCTTGGATAAACTGGATATTCTAAGTGCATTTTCCAAAGCTATCTCCAGTAATATCAGTAAAAGAGAACTTGAAAAGCTACTACAAAACACCATAAAATAATTCCATCCTGCTTTGCTGTAGGAAGTCCAGTTCTGAAGCAATCCCCTTTAATGCCCCCCATGATCCACCTCATCAGATGAATCAAAATAAATTTGTCTCCAAACAATACCCAACTCTATTTTCTGACACTGCTTAGTCATTACAACCTCCCTCATTAATTTCCTTATCCCACTGACCTAAATCTACAGGCTCATTTCATTTTTTCATAGGAGGGAGCAAACTTGTGCCCAACAGAGTAAACATACTCGATTGCCTTGAACTCTATCAAGCAGAGGGACAAACCTTTCTGTGCCTTGGACCCGACATCTCCCCTTTCTGCAATCATGGCAGTGGTGGTCTCGCCAGAACTTTGTCTTGCTACCTAAAAACATAAATTCATTTCTTTACCGATATTTCCAGGCGTTTGAGGGCTTGAATAGAATTTTCAGCTCCAGTATAATATTGTATGTCAATAAGAAACTAGAGCAGAGTTTTCCCATAGCCTCTGTAGTCATGATTTGGGGCTTCTTGATGTTCAACTGCAGTCCCATTTTGGAACTACCTTTCATTGTCACTAAAAATTGTTTGAAGTCATTGCTGCTTTCTGCCAGTAAGATGGTGTCACCTGCATATCTTAAATTACTGATGTTTCTTCCAGTCATGGGATTGATTGATTGACTGAAAATGTATTTACCCTGCCTTTCTCTATAAAAGGACCCAAGGCGGCATTCCACCAAGGTTCATTTATCTCTATCAAGTCACGCCTATACTCCTGGACTAAGATTTCCAATTCTTCTTGTTTGTTTTCCATATTCCTACATTCCTATATAGAGACTGGAGACTGTGTGATTTCTGGCTTGGTTTCCCTCTTACATTTTTATAAAGACTATCATTGGGTCCCATTAGAGTGCTTGCACTGTTTCTAATATATGTATCTAATAATGTAAACATAACATTATTTGTTGTGTCACAAAACAGCAGTTTGAATTAATAGCTCATAACTGAAATTGAATTAGAAGGGAGAGGGAGATGCAAACTTAGAGATAAAGACAGATGAAGCTCAACCCCACTCCACCAGCCCTGAAATTGGAAAAGAGACACTTTAATAAGTGGCAGCTGCTACCCGTTGTTTCACCCTGGTTATGCAAGCACACCCATAGGATATGGGTCAATGGGGTAGAAAACTTAACCAAGAATATTAAGTAGGTCATACTTCTCAGTACATTTTCTGATGCATACCATCCATGAGAGCAACCAAGATAGTTTCAGTTAAAAAACTGAGATAACCATCGGGACAGAATGAACAGCTTCATCTAAAGTATCTAGAGTTGAGTCATCATTAAATACTCAAATGTGTTGCCTAAATAGAACAATTTGAAATGGGGCCATAGCTGCCCAAATCAGTGGTATCAGGCGTTATTTTTTATTACAAGGCATCTTAAGAGCCTCCACCAGAGATGCTGGCATTATACTTTCTCTTATAGAGGCATTTACCACTACTGTCACTCACACTAGCTAACAAGGATAAAGAAAGACATGGAGGCTACACCACTAAAATGATCTTTTGCATATCTTTAACATGTACAAAATCTATCCATACAGGACTGATTTTCAGAAATAACTGGAAATCACTCTTGCACTTGCAGCAGTGGCCTCCTCAATTTTTTTTTGTTTCTGATTATTTTGTTATGTAATTATGTCTGCTGAAAATGATCCTGCCCAGCCTGGAACAAGTATGAGCTGCTTCACAGATAGAACATCTTCATAACAGGTCACTGCAGCCTCTGAAAATTCCAGCAACTCCCTAATTGGCCAGACAGCACCTAGAATAACTCTGCTAGGTGGATGCTCACAGCACTAGGTGGATGCAATGATAAGCGTGCTCTGCCATTCCCAACAAGCAGTGCCAAAGTGGGTCCTCTGTTTGTCGGGATTTGGCCCACATTTCCTCACCACTTGCATGCACAGCCTTCCTGTTAGAAAACCATGTCTCTACTGGATACAAAAGAAGTGACTGTCTATGACCCCACTCAGGAGATCAACTAGGGATTCAACATAAGAGCATATATATTAGCAGGAAAATCCTATTTGGCCTTCTAAGTCTCTAGGGATATGCTATCTTAAGAAGCCTCCACACCTCATGGAGATTAGAAATTGCTGTGAGCTTAAACCTAGCCAAGTAGTGATCTGTCCATGACAAGAAGCCTTATCAGATTTCAGCAACACAAACATCTACTTCATCATGCCTTCCACTTGTACTGGACCAGATATGATCTTAAAACAGCCCACAGTTCTCCCAGAAATCCTGAGTCATATCAGATAAAGAAGTTTTGCTACAAAAGGTGAAATCCTCTACAGTAGGCCCAAGGGTCTCCAATCTAGCCACCAAGACCACTTTCACCAGCCCAGGTGGGTTTACTGCAAAATAGCAGGTGACAGGTAACCTAGCAGAATCCTTAACTTGCCTTCAGAGCTCAAGCCCCAAATGAAAATACTTGCAAACTGGACGTTCACTGGAATAAAAATGCCTAGACTGGAAGTGGGAACCATAAGGAATCCCAGCTCACCACTCATCAAGCTTTATGCTATGGCATCAAGAAGTCTAGCCACAGCTGCAGGAGTTTAAAGCACACAAATCACACTGCACTGTTGCATTCTGCCCCACTTACATGATGCTGCTGTTCTCTAGCGAACACTGTCTGAAGCAGCTCCTGAAGTGCAGCCACTTGTTCTACAGCCTGCAGGCTTTTGGTACTTAGCAGTTCCTTAATGATCTGCTCTTTCCGCTGCAGGCGGAGATACAGCTCTTCCACAACGCCTCTCTGCCCAGGCAGCAGCTTGCACAGCAGTGTTGTCAAGAATGCCTAGGATAAGAACATGGATTAGGAAGGAGGAGGAGAATTCCACTGCTTAGCAACCTGCAAAGTGTTTCAGAAGCAGCAGGGTCTTTCACTGCAATGCCCCAGACACTTGGGGCAAGGGGTAGACAACCCTTAGGGTAAACACCATGGCCCATTTGTGATATGCTTTTGTGATCCTGTTTAGGTAACTACCTAATGAATGACTGCGAATTGAAACCAGTGATATTCTAGTGAGAAAGATGGAGCAACAGTTACAGTGCCTCCTAGGTATTATGATTCAACTCTTAACACAGAAACCACCCACCACCCAGTGCTCACAAGTCTTACTTCCACTTCCTTATTCCTATCACACAGAGCTGTCTGCAGCTGCTGGATGATTTCTTCTTGTTTTGCCTGCCATTTGTGAGATTTTGCTTCCATTTCCTTTTTCATCCACTGCAAATTCTGATGGGTTTTCAAAAGGTGTTCATGGTCCAGGTTCTTGGCTTTCAGCAAGCTCTCCAGATCCTAACAAGGCAGAATGTGGAGAACAAACAGATTAACATGGAAACAAGCCAGACCTTTTTCTGGTTTCACAAACCAAACAGCACTGATGCCACCAGGTACTGCCGTAGGTGGCTTAGGAGTTATTCCCAAAATGGCACTACCTTCTCACTCCCAGTGAGAAAGAACACCTGCACTGCATCGTCTAAAGGTCAAATTTACTTCTGTACATTTACCACTGAAAAAAATACAAACTGAATCAGGAAGGTCCTTTGCTGAGACCCTTGAAAGCTGCCAAAAATCAAGGTAGAAATACTGGGCTAGCAAGTCCTCCAGTGAAGTTCTCCAGATGCTGCTGGATTACAACTCACAGCATTTGCCATCACTGGCTACACAGCATTTGACATCACTGGGATAGAAGCTATAGTCCAACAACATCTGGATGGTCCAGTTTGATCACCTCAGGCTAGATGAATTATTATCCTATTGGTCCATTATAGACAGTAAAATGGGAGTTGAGCGTTATCCTAGAATGCTGGCTTAACTGTGATGTTACTCTGGTCAGCCTAAGAAGCAAAGAAGATGCTTCAAGAGCTGTTTCGAAAAGTACTGCATTGTAATGTTGATCCCAAGAGCAGGAAGAAGCCATAGTATATAGAAAGAGAAGCATGAGCATTGTCCTTCTTGGGCCAAGTTACCTGAATGGTAGCCTTGCTATTGGATAGGACTTGGTGTAGGCTTTCCAGATCGCGCTCCCGCTCTTTCACAGACAAACGAAGTTGATGCAGTTCTTGCTCTCTGTCTTCAAGCACACAGAACTTTTCATCTATTGCTCGCTACAACAGAAAAGTCCCTGGTTAAATGTATGTTGGGGAGCAGGGGCAACAAAAGTCACAGGATCAAGCATCCTTTTGCAAAGAGCTCAACGTCACACACCACATTCTTCCTGTTAAGAAGTTTGGCTTTTATCCCCTTCCCTCTTCTACATGCTAAGAGCACGGTTCCTGCTTGAGATGCTGCAAAGGCTGTGACACAAATGAGCACAAAAAGAAAGAAATGAACAGATTGTGCTGGACATCCCAAGCAAATACCTCCAGGGCAGCATCTCTGTCTTTAAGTCGCTGTTGCAATTTCTGCACCATTTTATCAGCAGATGTGGGGCCCTTGTCCCTGTTCTGATGATACTGGAGGAGTTCCTTAGATTCCTAGAAAATAAAAGTACATCAACAGAGGTTATTTGGCAAGTTTAGCGAGTTTCAAGAAAAAATCAAGATTTTTTTTGGGGGGGGGAGATCCGGATGTTCTCAGAGAAGCAGTATGGCAGGTGTGGGTGGGAACAACAAAACAGGTCAGCAGTCTAAGGGCACCTCTTCACTTGGTTCTGCTCTAGGAAGTTCTGTGTATTAATCTACCATTTTATCATAATCAACTTGTAGCAGGTGAATCCCTGCTTAGAAAACAAAAGATCTGACCAAGCTTTATACTATTTCAAACCTGACAGCTGCCTGAAAAGTGTCCTACTCTAAGGTTACTTTGAAAGTTGTCTGGAAAGCTACCACATGGGTCCTCACAAAACGGAGTGCCAAAGTCTTATATAGCTATATAAAAATTGAATGTTGGGGGAGAATGAATTTTAATTTTTTTAAAAGGTAGGAAATGGTTTGAGCTCAGAAACTGCATGAAACACCAAGTGGTGGTGGGGTCCTCTACATCTGTGGCAGGAAAGCAGCAATCCTGGCCCCTTTATTCCCCAATCCCACCCCTAGGATAGAAGGAACTAAGGCTGGTCTAGCAGGACTAATTCCTGAGAGCCCCATCTTGACTTCTAGTCATCACTCCAATGTTTTCTAGGCATGCAGAGGCTGGGCATTCTTCTGAAGTTTTTATCTAGTTATGACACCAGTTTTACTAATTTATGGGTTCTTAGATCCATCTTTTCCCTTTTTCTAAAAACAATGACATTTTCCTATCTTCAGCCTTGAGCTATGTAACAATTCTCAAAAACTACATACAGTAGCACTGCAGTCATGTACACACACTTCTTTAACAGCAGAATTCATCTGCTCAACATCCTTAACTATTGCAGTTTGCAAGCTTCTTCATGCTGTTTGTGTTACTTATGTCAGATATAAAACGCGTCCCCTGAAGAAAAAGACTGGGATAAATAAGGAGCGGAGTAGTTCTGCCTTCTCTCCACTGCCCATTAGCAATTCACTATCTTCCCTAAGGAGCAGACCAACCTCCATGGTCTTCTTAATCCTAAAACAGCCCATTAAAAACTTACTATTGTTTAACATATCAACGTCTCTGTCCATACTGGGCCTTTATCTCCTTAACACAGGCTTCTCTGTGTACTCTTCCTTGGTCCTATGCCTTTTCTTTCTCTTCTACATGTCAGTTTTGCTTGCTACAACAATACTCATGTTTTTCTGTTTGTTTTGTTTGCTTATATGTCTCACATTCTATGTTCCATTTGCAAATTATGCATATTGGAGTTTGCGTTTCATTTATCTGTTTAATTTAATGTATCGTTATTGTGTTTTTATCTCATTGCAGACTGTGCAGAATAGTGCATTGCACAAATGAGCTGGTACACAAATTAGAGACAGACAGACAGACAGAATCAATTCCTCTATCTTCATCCAAACACTTTCAATAGGACTTCTGTTCTTTGATTCATAGGTTTTTGTACCAATGGATCCATTGTTTACATATGGAAATTGTTCCAAGTTCTTTTTGTGTGGAGGAGCATTTCACAATAAATTCCCCCCATGCACACTCCATATACATAGCATCTTGATGTGACTTTAATGCAATTAAAACTTTAAAAGCCAATCCTCATAAGTATCTCACCTGAAGAAGCTGTTCTTTGTAAGTAAGCTTTTGGCTCAAATGTTTAATTTTTTGCTCTTGACTTTGTATCTCCAACATTTTTCCCCTCTCCAAAATACAGTATTGGCAGTTCTTGTTCTGCAACTCTGTTTCTAGCTGCTGAAGAGTAGCACACAACTCCTAGAAAACAACATACACATTTCATCAGCTGACCAGGTCTGGGACCCCACGGCAGGCTCTGCAGAACCCTCAAGGACCAAAAAGACTAGGATGAGCAGAGATGATGCATGCTACACCTCTGTGTTCACCAGATCATTCCCACTGCTAGAAATGCTAGCTCTGACCAGTTCTGCCACATTGTCACACAAACTGATCACATGAAAACGCCCTCACAAGTAGTGACTTGGCCACTGACCGTAACATTATATGCTCAAAGTTAAAGCAATTTCCAATGCAAATGCACATTATCTGGGTCCCAAAATAGAACAGAATTCCTGAAGATGTTCAGCTGAGTTGCAGAGGCCAGCTGTCCTGTTTAGACCTGCGAACTTCCATGAGCTAAACAGTTCGTGCCATACCTTATTGTGTTTCCACGCTGCCTCTTTCTGCTGCTGTTCCTCTTGCAACAATGACTCAAGAAAATGGGTGGTCTGTCTTGCCTCAGCCAACTGATGATCCTTTTGCTGGTGAATCCTCTTCAATCGCTGCACTTCCAGCTGAGTGAAGAAAAGTGTGTTCTGCACATTAAGAAGTGCTATTTGCTGCTGCTGTGATGCAGAAGTACCTTCAGAGATCTAGCAAGACATGGAAATATAAAAAAGGAACATGTTTAGACTGTGAAATCACAGGCCAGTAAAATACTGAAATAGCTTTGAAAAGCATATTCCAAAGCCTATTATAGGACATCCTCATTCTCACAGGTCGCCAGTGCTGTGGTAGATATTTCAAAGAGAAATATATCTGACCATGTCCACAATATTTAATTGATTCCAACAGTTAACATGACGTGCCATTCGCCTGATTTATGGACTAGCAGCCGTCACCTTTGCTATCAACCTCCTGGCTCCCTTTAGCCCTTCAGCAGAAGCACAAATTTGTATCCAAGTGGAAGCACAAAAGCTCTGTATTTTGGGTATGTTGGCATTTGAATCACAACAGGCTCAAACATTTACATACAGTGCTGTATTATGACAGCATCATGGACAGACTAGTGATGCCCTCTGTCTTTTTATTACACACCTGCTGAAACATATACAGCGGTGCCTCAACTTACGAACTTAATCCGTATTGGAATGGTGTTTGTAAGTCGAAATGTTCATAAGTTGAAGCATCATTTCCCATAGGAATGCATTGAAAACCGATTAATCCGTTCTGGCCGGAGGGAAAAATTCATCAAAAAAATTAAAAAGAACACAGTAAGCCTAGTCAGAAGGCACTCAGTTGCTTTAAGAAGAAGAAAAAACTCAAAACAACAACAACAACAACAACAACAACAACAACAACACTAAAGCCACCTCTGTTGCTGAGGTTTAAGAAGAAAAACTCCAAAAATAAACAGCAGCCACCTCCGTTGCTGAGGTTTAAGAAGAAAAACTCCAAAAACAAACAGCAAAACCACCAACACAGCACAGAAACATACCCGCTCAAGCCAAAACACACCCAGAACAGTTTTTAAAAGAAGAAAACAGCAGCTTCCCTCCCTGCAGACACACACACAAACACACAAACACACAAACACACACACACACACACACTCACTCCGAAGCAGGAGGCGGCTCTCCCAAGCCTCCGAGGACGACACACTCTCTAACTGCTGAAAGTGAAAGAGCTACAGTACAAATAAGCAGCCTTGTCACCACCTACAGTTAGAAATCTGAATTGCCCGCTTTTTCCCTTCCTGTTTCTGTTCGTAAGTGGAAGCTTTTTCCCTTCCTGTTTCTGTTCGTAATGGAAGCTCCGGTCGCAAGTCGAAGCAAAATGTTGCGACCAGAGCTGTTCGTAAGTCAAAATGTTCGTAAGTAGGGACGCTCATAAGTCACCACTGTATATCCCATCTCTTCTCTAAGACAATGTCTATAATCTTTTCAGCCCTGAAGACTGTATCTGAGACTGGCTGCAGTCATTTGTATAAGATCATATACAGGACATAATACCCTCCAGTGCAGCTGTGTTCAGGGATGAGGAGATTCAAACTTTTCCTCCTGGCCCTTTGAGAGGTATAGATTCCCTTGGCCACATGCAGAGGTGAACAAGCCAAGAATCTTTGCTAGCAATGGAAAAACAGTGAGGAGCAGGATCACTTGACGTTGGGATACCAGCACACACACACAAAGAGCAATTTCTACATTAGACTGTTATTTTTTTCACTTTTACCAGCAGTAAAAAAAACACACTGTTTTTTGGCTGCAAAATCACCAGAGACTGGAAGAAGCTTTCACTTTCTCCCAACTTCCAGAAATCCTGACTTCGGCTAACAGCAGCTCCAATGATTTTTTTAAAGTGTCACCAAGCTCATCAACTGGACTGCAGAAAAAACGGAGTGTGGGTCCCTAGCTGCAGCTGGCCAGCTTAGTGGGCACACCACCTCATCGGACACCACAGGTGTGCTTTCTCAGCATGCTACACCTGGACCCTGGGGTGAGGAAGGGGAGAACGCTACCACCACTGCCGCCCTTGCAGGTGCAATTGCGTGGAGGGCTGAGCTAGAGATATAAGGTGAACTGGAAGACTCCGAGGGACAGGAATGCTGACAAAGACATGGAAGAAGAATGGGCTCAGTTCAAGGGAGAAGAGGTCGGTGCTGAGCCCCCGCCACAGCTCAGAGAGGTGGTGAACACTACAACCCTGGAAGCATTCTACCAAATATACTTTGAATTGGGGGATTGGACGTGGTGGTGTCATAGGCCCCTTCCACCTCCGTTATTCTATGATTCCTTTTAATAATCCAAACAACAACACAAGAGTCTTTGAAAGGCATGATATAATCCATCAAGGCCCATACCTTCAATTGCCCAAGCTGGCTTTTATGCAGCATCTCCTGTAGCTTAGCTATTGTCTCATTCTGCCTTTCAATCACACAATTCAGTTCTTCAGACTACAGGACAGAAGACAGAACAGTTAAAAATAAGCAGATACATTAAAAATTAAGGAGTGGGGCTGCCTCCTGCTTTATTAGCAAGACACAGTCCCCACATATACTAAGTCAGGTATCCTAAACTCTTTGGAATCATTATTATTTGGAACCAAAGTTACATGCCTGGAAGATCTTTCAATCTACACAAGACAGCCAAAAGTGTTCAGTGACCAAATCTGTAACAAACAGCATTTACTGTGTGAAGACTTTACAACATTACAAACCTCATTCTCTTTGCTCTTCAAGACTTCAGTCAGGTTCTGGATTTTGTGATCCTGAGTCCATGATGTGTGCTGAACAGATTTCAATTCAAAACTGATCTCATTCAGTTTCTCTTGAAGCTGCTGAGTGCCATAAATACATACAATTTTGAACCAGGCAGTAATAAATAGCACTTGTTTAATTTTGCTTTTTTGTTACAAATACTGTAGACTATTTGACATAGCTGTGCTACATATTCACTTGAGCCCCTAGTTTTTAAAGAATCTCTTGCATCAATGGGAAATGTGCTGCCCCTAATTATAGGGGAACTTGGGAAGAAACCTGCACTTTTGAGATCTTCAATACAAATTCATAGACCTATCGTTACAGAATTAGGTTAAATGCAAAGATAAGGTAAAGGTTCCTCTTGACAAACTGTCCAGTCACGTCAGACTCTAGGGGGTGGTGCTCATCCCCGTTTCCAAGCTGTAGAACCAGCGTTTGTCCATAGAGAGTTTCCATGGTCACACGGCCAGTGCGACTAGACACGGAATGCCGTTACCTTCCCACCGTGGTGGTACCTATTTATCTACTCGCATTTTACATGCTTTTGAACTGCTAGGTCGGCAGGAGCTAGGACAAGCGATGAGAGCTCACTCTGTCGCATGGATTCGAACTGCTGATCTTACGACCTTGCAGCCCAGAGGCTTAGCGGTTTAATCTGCAGCGCCGCCATGCCCCTAATAAAGGCAGAACACAGTGCCAAATCTACGGTATTGTGTTTGTATTTTTACAGTAGATCTTACTGTATGATGGTAAGATGGTAGTGCTCAGATGTATCACTGTGCTCAAGGGTTGCTTATTTTACTGCTGTTGTTGTTTGATTATTATGTATTTGCCTATGTCTTTATTATCTGATTTTATATTGGAAGCTGCCTAGAGTGGCCCGGTGGGCCAGATAGGCGGGGTATAAATCAAATAAATAAAAATAAAAATAAATAAACCAGAGGCTGCACATGTATGTATGTATGTATGCATGCATGTGGCAGATCTCTGAAAGTTACTTCTAAGAAGAATTAATACAGTGACATACTGTAGCTACCCATACCTAAACAATGGTAGGATGGTGACGTGCCCACATATAACTAGGAATGCAAGGATTGGGAAGTATAAATGAATTTATGCCCCATCATGCTATAGTGCCTTAGATGAATGCAACCCTGTCCTCCCACCACATTTTACCCAATAAATGATGACGTTTTAAAGACTTACCTTATTGGTAGCACCAAAGGAGCTGATTTTTTCCAGCAGTTCTGCATTATTTAATTCAGATGTTTGTTTGCCCAGGTGCAAGTCACATCGAGACAGCTGCTCCTGATCCTCATACAAATTCTGGAAATAGAAAAAGTTGACATGTGCTGAGAGAAGCACCATCTTGGGCTAGCATGGGGGACCTGAATCACTACTCATTTTTGTAGGAAGTAACAATTTTATTCTAATTTGTCTCACAGGATTGTTGTAAAGACAACTTACAAAATAAGGGTGGGATAAAACTGCAGTAGATCCATGTTGATTATGTTGACTGCAGTAAAGATCCTAGAATCAGACAGCAGGATATGCTTGATTAAATTGAACTGGGCCATCTTAAACAAAATTAACCCAAGCTCAAACAGAATCACACCAAATAAACCAGTTTAGCCCAGATTCTGTCCAAACTGGACCTAAGATAGCATGTCTATCATAGAACCATAGGCTGAAATCCAGTTTCATAACTGTATCTGCACAGCATTGTTGATGTCATTAGCAGTGGCAAACTGCCACTCATTAAAGGCTTCATTTGGAGATTTCAGGCAGCATGCAACTTCGCCATACTATGCAAACACCCCAAAATTGGCTTTAATCTTCAGTTATCTCCCTTTAACCAATGGTGATTTGCTCCTGATGACAACATCATTACTGTTGCACATGCAAAGATGTGCAACATGATTTCAGCCAGTGAAGGGTTATGAAGCCCAGCTCCCTGCAGAAGCAGAAAATCCGCTGCTAAAGAAACCTTGAGAGGAAGCTATCCAACCTCTGCTTAAAATCTCCAATGAAGGAGAATCTTCAACCTTCAAAGGTAGAATGTTTCACCATCAAAAGGCTGTCAGGACGTTTAGTTGAAATCACCTCTTGTAATTTGGATCCATTGCTTTTAGTCTTACACTCTGAAGCAGGAGAAATCAAACTCGCTTGATCTTCCATATGACAGGAATTCAAATATTTTGAGATGGCTATCGTGTCATTTCTCAGTCATCTCTCTGTTCCACCTTTCCGTTACAGTATCCTGTAGGCATCCCTCTGTTCTCCTTGTCATTTTTGTTTTCAATTTATAGGTAAATCTACAGATCAAATTTTGTATTTTTTCCTAGCAGCACAATTCACTGAGCTCAGAACAGCTGTGTAAATCACTGTTCAAACAGCTTGACTGCCAATGTGGCATAGTGGATAGCGTGTCAGATTAGGATTCAAGAGACCTTGGTTGAAATCCCAGCTCAGCCATGAAAGTTCCCTGGAGAATGACAATGGTGAACGTCTCATATACCTAAAAGATAAATCTTTTTAGGGTCACCATAAGTCAGAAGTGATCTATCAGTACAAAACATCAAAACAGTACATACAGCTGTTCATCTGCATGGCTCCAGATAATAAAAGTCTTGTATCTACATGAAAGTTAACTTGCAACACATAACAGCCAAAATAAAGCTAATTCAACAGCCAGTTATTTATGACTCAAAGGCATGGAGGTATTAATAGATGTTTACCTGCTTTTTAAAAAATATATATATTATTGCCAATTAAATTGATGCTTGTATTACTTTGTGTTGTTTTAACAAAGGGCTCTTTATTTTTATAGGGACATGGTGGCTATGCGGGCTAAACCGCAGAAGCCTGTGCTGCAGGGTCAGAAGACCAGCAGTCGTAAGATCGAATCCACATGACGGAGTGAGCTCCTGTTGCATTGTCTCAGCTCCTTGCCAACCTAGCAGTTCGAAAGCATGCAAATGCGAGTAGATAAATAGGTACCACCTCGGTGGGAAGGTAAACAGCGTTCTGTATATAGCCGCGCTGGCCATGTGACAACGGAAACTGTCTTCGGACAAACACTGGCTCTACGGCTTGGAAACAGGGATGAGCACCGCCCCCTAGAGTTGGACATGACTGACTAAATGTCAAGGGGAACTTTTACCTTTACCTTTATTTTTTACTTACTCCCATGAATTTTAAACATAGTTAATTCTGTTTGTTCTAAACAGTTATGCACGTGAACATTCTCATTATGTTACTTAAGACCATGTTTTTAAAAAGATAATCACAATTTAGAATGCACTCACAGATTTTTTTTAAAAAATCAAGAAATCAGATAAAACTCTTTGACAGAAAAAGTATACAGAGCAAAAGAGTCTTCAGCTCTGTTTAAACCAGTGAGAGGACTTGCTAACATTCTCAAGACAGAGGGCTCCAAAGAACTGGGGTCAACACTGAAGAGGCCCTGTCTCTTGTAGCTATGCATGTTTTACATAAATAAAACAAAGCAGGAGATGCACAGGTTAGAAATTGTTTTTTAAAACCATAATTTTAGTAGTGCCATTAACTATTTTTGTGGACAAAAATATTCAAATTCCTTGGGACAAAAATAGATAAGATACATTAACAAATGAAAATCAGCACCATGGCTACTTTGTTACCATGGAAAGTAAGTATGTGAGCAATCAAAACAGAAGGTTAAATCAATTCTGTTCTTTGAAGGAAAAAATAGGCTTCTCAGTAAGAAACTGACCTTCAAATTTTCCAGGCAAGGAATCTATGTTTTATTTACAGTGGTATTTTAGTGAGTTTGTTGAAGGGCCAGAGACTCAGAGTACAATTCCCCACTGTGCTTTTTGAGAGAAGAGCCAGCCTGTGTAGCCTTGGGCAAGCTGCACAGTCTCAGGATGCCATTCAAAAGAGAATGCCACTTCTGAGTACTCTATACCTAGATACCCTGGATCACTGTATGTTGGAACCAACTTGATGCCATGAAATTATTACTAATACATGTGGGATTCACCAGATGTTATGTTTGGTAATCTATTTGAATATGACAATTTGTCTTTAGTTTGTAAGAATCAACCTCAGTAAGTCAGCAACTCATTTGTGGGACACAGCCTATCAATGGAAGACCAACCGAGTCTAGAACTTCTGTGATGTTACAAGAGTGCAGGTGAGAATAAGAGCAATTTATGCCCAGACCTCATATATTCTGTACAGACAGTCCCAAAATTACAGAAAATGGACTACAGATTGCAGGATAGCCATACTGAACTGAGTCTGTTTTTTTAAAAGAAAAAGTATGTTCTCATAACGCCTAGCTCAACCTAGCTCTGAATTTGACATTTCCATTAGTTCTCCACCAAGTGATTAAAAGTACTCCTGTGAGCTTCTAATTAGCTAAGCTAGAATCTGAAGATCACACAAATCCCATGAAGAGAACATGACACAGCCACGAATCATTGGCAGGTGGATGGCTATGCTTATGAATATACCTTTCTACTAACTCAATTTAACACTTACTACTAATGTGAATGCAATTATACTGACAAGGATAGTCCCAAATTAAAGTTGACAAATGCACTCTTTGTTAAATATCATCAGGAAGCTGCACCTTAATGAGATTTCAGATGCTAGCAATAGCAATGGAATCCATGCTGAAATACAGACATAACAGAATATGGCATCTGAAATGCCAACGACTGTAGTAGCCGCAAGGTGACAGGCAACTGGCATTAATTCCTAAGAGCCAAATCCACTTGTTAGTCCCAGGACGAGTTTAGTCACTTGGACGGAATTACATGTACAATAAGTGTGAATTCAACAAGCCCTAGTGATTCAATGGGTCTATCCTAAGCAAGGCCTGGGGGGAAAATCTTCAGAAACACCACCCCATAACAATAAAGAATGCAATTTTCAGAACAAGAAACGTATAAGAACCAGATGAGAACAAAGAGGACGATAAGACTTCAAAGTAAACTGCAGATGAAGTAGCTGGATAAATCTGACCCAGTAGTAAATGGGCAGAGAGGGCAAAAACCATCTACCTTGACTTGAAGTGGAATATATTCCACACACAGATCTTCCCACAGCTCCTGAAGGTCAGACATTTCCAAAGGAGAAGTTAAGGCAGATCCAGGATGAGGTTTTAGTGCTACATTCTGAAAGCTAGGAGATGAGTTTTTATCCGCCGGATCCTGGCAAAGGGGACTTGCCTTTACAGGGACCGGCAGCTTGCTCCCTCGGGGACTCTGGACCGGCTTGCAATCGAAGGCTTTGACCAGGTGGAGGGCCAGGTCCAGCCGGCTCCCATGCAGGGGGGGCAAGCTGTGGGCGCCGGCGCCACAGTCACACTTGCCCCTCGGCTTTGGCGGGGCCTCGGCCTCTTCCTCCCTCGGCTGGGAAGAGCCGGCTGCCACCGTGGCATCCAAGGACTCCAGCGAGGACCGGGGCGTCGCCTCCTCCTCCTCCTCCTCCTCTTCCATGCCCTCCTCCTCAACCTCCCCCTCCTCCAAGGGCGCTCTGCCGC